TTAAGGACACAAGCCCAGTGGATTGAAGTTCAGAATGTAAAATACCAATCTCTTTTCTAAGTTAGTGATTGAATTTAAAATTAACCAAATTAACAATAAGTATCGAATTTTCCATTCATGATAGCATTATGAAGAATGGAGAGGTCATCAAACGTTCTTGTGAAGATCTTGCAGATTTCCCTCTTGTTCCACCTCATTTGCCAAGTACTCCACTGTTGCTTTATTGCCAAATGCCGCAGCCCTGTATAGCACGGTCTCCCCTAAATTATTGCAGTCCATTAGTATCCTCGCTCGTCCTTTGTTAGAAACTGAAAAGAAGAAGAAATATCTGAAGAAAGGTTTATTGCTTTCTTGAATTATACTGTGTGTACAATGACCTATATATAGGTGTTTACAAAGAGAATATTCTAAGGTATAAAGTATACAAAGAGAATATTTTAAAGTATAAAATATTTACAATAATTATGTTCACATCTTAACATCCCCCCTCAAACTTAAGGTGGTTATGATGAAACCAACTTGAGTTTGGAAAGAAGAGTACAAAAACGTCCAGGAAAATGAGCTTTGGTAAAGAGATCTGTTGGTTGATCAGCGGAGCCAATGAAAACCAAATGAACAGTTCCTTGTGCAACATGATGACGAATAAAGTGACAATCAACCTCAATGTGTTTAGTGTGTTCATGAAAGACATCATTATGAGCAATCTGCATAGCACTTTGATTATCACAATATAAATCAGTAGGAGAAGGTTGAGGAATGCCCATATCTTCAAGAAGCCATCGCAATGAAAGAAGTTCTGATGTGGTATCCCCAAGAGCTCTATACTCAGCTTCAGTACTAGAGCGAGATGGAATAGCTTGTTTCTTACTCCGCCAAGAGATGAGAGAATTACCAAGGAAAAGACAGTAACTAGTGGTAGATCTACGATCAGAAGGATCACTGGCCCAATCAGCATCAGAGTAAGCGTGAAGCACAAGGGAGGAGTTGGCAGAAAAATGGAGTCGATGAAATAATGTTCCCTTAACATAGCAAATAATGCGAAGTACTGCTGCATAATGAGTGGAGCGAGGAGCAGCCATAAACTGACTAACAATGTGAACTGCATATGCTATATCAGGGCGTGTCGTAGTAAGATAAACCAGACTACCAACCAATTGTCGATAGCGAGTAGGATCAGAAAGT